CATAATTTCAGGCACTAAAACACTGGCTGAAGAAGAACCAGAAAAGATTAATTAAATGGCATAGTAGAATAACAGTACGGATGAAACAGCAAATATGGAATTAGGGATGTATAGAATGTATCCAAGGGCAAGACTTGAAACAAGCATTGTATGTGAATATTTGGAAGGTATAAAAACAAAGAACTGGTAGTGGAGGAAGAAGGGTAGCAAGGCAAAAATAGTGTAATAGGATGAAATACAGACTCAAACATTTAAGGAAGATAAACGTTTTAAATTAAGGTGTGAAACCTCCTAGAGGAACTGAGGGATAAAGGATGTTCTTCCTATCTCTAAAGATATCTTGACAGAATAAATCTCAGGAAATAACCTCTGAGGAGTCAATAAAACTCGACTTCAAATATGGGCAAAATGTACCTGAAGAGGATTCCTCCAACTCCAACCAACCACCTAAACAAATGCAGTGAAAAACAAAGGCCCAGGCCGGGTATAGTGGCTCATGCCTGTAATCCCAACACTTTGGGAGGCTGAAGCAGGAGGATTGCTTGAGGCCAGGCAACAGCTTTGAGACCACCCTGGGCAACACAGCAAGACCCTGTCCCTATAAAAATAGAAAAATTGGCCAGGCATGATGGTGCACACCTGTAGTCCTAGCTACTTGGGAGGCTGAGGTGTGAGAATCACTTGCAGCAGGAGTTCAAGGCTGCAGTGAGCTAGGACTGTGCCTCTGCACTCTAGCCTGGATGACACAGTGAGACTCTGTCTCAGAAAACAAACAAAAAACAAAAAAACCAGAGGCCCAGTCCAATTCACACTACAATTGGTAAGCACCCTATGCCAGGCCCTGGACTGACCACTTTTTATGCATTATCTTCTTTAATCCTGACCTCATCTTACTTTATAGAGGAGAAAGCTAAGAAATAAGGATGTTAAATAACTTGACAAAGATAATGACAGAATTCAGACACAAACATAAGGATGTCTGAGTCCAGACACCCCTCTTCCTTACTGCACTCTAATGCCTCAACTCTAGATTTAAAACCAATGGATGGGGTGTGAAGGGCTCTTGGGTCTCATCAGTACACATTTAGAACAAAATAGCACAGGCGAAGGAGGCAAAAGTCAGAAGCTATCCCTAAGCAATAAAAGCAGGGATGTTGGTAGAAAATAGCACTATTGCAACCAAGTCCGGAAACACTACTCTTTCTTGTAGTACTTGGATCAAGCCTCTAAAAGTCATCTATCTCAGAAAAGACAATGGAGTGACTTCTTCATACTTTACCTCCTGCGTTTCCTGAGAAGGGGGCGATCTAGAAGTTCATCTGCAGTAGGTCTCTGCTCAGGATCCTAAAAAGTAAAAATAGGGTTAGTTTTCACTTAAAGGAAATGGGCAACATGGGATCTAAAGATAATTAGTCAAAGACCACTGCATTATCCCTTTGTTTTAAAAATCATTTCTTATGTGATACTCCATGTTTTATGTTTCTCACCTCATTATCATCAACACTTGTACATGAAGGAGAATGTTTATAATGCACCTTCCTCACTTGTTCAATTAGGGCAGTGGCTCTCCAACCTCAATATATACAGAATAGAAGAATCACCTGAGGGGTTTGTTACAAATAAAGATTTCTGGGCTTTATCCACAGAGATTCTGACTGAGTTCGTCTACGGTGGGGCCCAGGAATCTTCTTTTTACTTACAAAACTCTCCCATTCCCTGGTGATTCTGACTCCAGTGTTTCATGAAACATACTTTGAGTAATACTAGAACTACACAGCAAGGGAACTATGAGATATGAGAAATACAGACATTCTGTATTAAAAGTGGTAAATTATCTTTCATTGCAGTTTTATGAAATATATATTCAGAAATTACTCTTGGTCATAAAAATGGAGCACAATTTAGATGGGAAATTCATTTCACAAACTAATACTTACAAAACAGAATAAAGTAAGAATTTGTTCACTGAAGCACACAACTATAATGAATTACCAATACCTATTCTCTGTATAGCCACAAATACACTCTACCCTGGGGAACTGGATGTGGTTTTGTATGGTTTATAGTTATGCCATACACCAAACACTGAGGCTGGAAGGGGAAATACGAAACTGAAGTGAATATTTAAGTCACACCTACCTGGTCAAGGCACGAATGAACCATTTGGATCAATTCCAAAGAGTACTGGCTAGAGTCAACTTCCATGGCCCGAATTCCTTGCACGATCTTCACACACAGGTTGAGTGGGTTCTATGAGAAAATGATGACTGCATTGTTCCTGGTTATATGAAGATGATGCTATACTCTACTGGTAGGGGCTCTCAGGTGTCTATGACCATTATTTAAAGAATTGGCAATAGGTCTGACTTCTTGTTATAACTACTAGTATGCATCAACAAGAAATGGTTAGGGATGCACTGATACTATTAGACAGAATGAAGCCAACTGGCTATACAATCTATAACTATGTGGCCAACAATATAATGCTCAGAGTATATTATAATCTGACCTTTCAACTGAATCCCAAGAAAAAGGAAAGCAAGACTAGCCATGCTTCTTGGCTTCATGTAGTTCCCTTGCCAACTAACTTGCCTTCTAATTTATATATCCTAGTTGTGGCTGTACAGACAATACTCTGCTGCAACAGACAAGGCAGTGAATAATATTAAGATGATAATATTAACAATACTATGGTAATACCATTATTGAGAGACTACTACAAACTAGACAGGCACATTACATATATGGTATTTTTTAGCCTCACTAACACCATTCAAGGAAATTATTATCATTATCAATTTATATATGAGAAAAAGGGGGCTCAGAGATGTAAAGTAACTGACCAAAATCACAGATAGTAAAAATGAAGCTATAACTCCAATCAAAGCCTGACTCCAAGTCATATATACACACACATATATACACACACACACGTACATATACACACAACATATATATATACACATATTTCTTGAGACAGAGTCTCACTCTGTCACCCAGGCTGGAGTGCAGTGGCACGATCTCTGCTCACTACAACCTCTGTCTCCTGGGTTCAAGTGATTCTTGTGTCTCAGCCTCCTGAGTAGCTGGGATTACAGGCATGCGCCACCATGCCTGGCTAAGTTTTGTATTTTTTAGTAGAGGTGGGGTTTCACCACGTTGGCCAGGCTGGTCTCAAACTCCTGACCTCAGGTGATCCGCCCGCCTCAGCCTCCCAAAGTGATGGGATTACAGGCATGAGCCACCATGCCCAGCCTCTGACTCCAAGTCATTTTTCTTCCACCATACTATTTAGGGGAATTAGATGATATACTAGAACAACCTTCAGGATTTAGAAAAATGAATAGGTCTTATGAAAGGGCAATGAATTTACATTACCTTACATTTGCGTTTTTCATATACATTATGAGAGAATCTCTGTATGGGGAATATATATTGTTACCATGTTATAGATAACGAAACAGAGGATCAAAGAGATGAAGTGATTTGCCTAAGTTCTCACACCTGGTTGGTAGAGGCAACTGGATGTGAATCCACTTTAGCCCCTCAGTGTGCTCCACGGACCAGCAGCATCAGCATCACCTGGGAGCTTGTTAGAAACACAGAATATCAACCCTGCCCCCCGCAAAAAATCTGCATTTCAACAAGATGACTTTGTATGCGTATTAAAGTTTGAGAAGCACTGCTTTATATAAGGTTGTACTTTAATTTACTTGAAAAAAGAAAAAAAGACTTAAAGGGATTCATTGTCTATAAAGCAACGACAATCTTTATTTTTTAACAGATAAACTTTTTTTTTCCTCTAGTTAATGAATATTTTTAACACCCACAATGTGTTAGGTATTGTAGAAAATAAAGCAAACATTTGGAAGGGTTTTAGATTACCTGGCAAAACCACAGCTATATAAAAAAAGTTAAGTACAATAAAGTGATACTGGTGCTATGTCAGAAGTGTTTACAAAGATAAAATAAAGGCATAAAAAAGTAACAATTTAGGAAAAGGCCTAAATATGCTGGGCATGGGGGCTCACATCTGTAATCCTAGCATAGGCTAAGGCAGGAGGATCACTTGAGGCCAGGATTTTGAAACCAGCCTGGGTAACATAGTGAGAACCCATCTCTACAAAAAATAGCCAGGTGTGGTGAGGCACGCCTGTAGTTCAAACTACTCAGGAACTGAGGTGGGATGACTGCTGGAGCACAGGAATTTGAGACTGCAGTGAGCTATGATCACGACACTGCACTCCAGGCCTGGGCAACAGAGTGAGACCCAGATAAAACAATTGTCTTTTGCTCCCTTCCATTCTGTTCATTAGATTTGCATCCTTTTACACGTTTCCAAGAAAGTGATGCAGTAGTTGCATGATCATCTGGCTGCTGTTAATAATGTTCCAATTCCTACTGCTTGAAAAAGTGAACCATCATGTTCCATTTTTTGCTTTTAAGAGATGAACTTTTTAATTTAATTTTAATTTTTTTTGAGACAGGGTCTTGCTCTGTTGCCCAGGCTGGAGTACAGTGGTGCAATCTTGGCTCACTGCAACCTCCACCTCCTGGGTTCAAGCAATTTTTGTGCCTCAGCCTCTCGAGTAGCTGGGATTACAGGGGCACGCCACCACACCCAGCTAAGTTTTGTATTTTTAATGGAGATGGGGTTTCACCATGTTGGCCAGGGTGACCTCAAGTGATCCACCCACCTCGGCCTCCCAAAATGCTGGGATTACAGGCATGAGCCACTGCGCCTGGCTGGGTCGATAGCATTTTAATAACAGATTACTAATCTTGTACCTGAATACAGGTAATTTTTGCCAGAAATCAGAAGCCTGGGAATAGAGTTGATCTGCTTAGTCAGGCTGTACCATTTGCAACCTGCTAAATGCAATATAGGGATAATATGCCAACTTACTGTAGCATCAAACGTCCTCTTCAAGGTAAGGAGTTCAAAAATGACACAGCCTACTGCCCAGATATCAGACTTGAAATTGTACTTTACTCCTTGACAGAGCTCTGGAGACATGTAATATGGGGTTCCCACAAGCTGAGCAACAAAGAAACAATCAAAGAATAACTTCTTTTCTGAGGTAACTATGTTAACATTTCAACAGCTTAATTAAATTTCCCAGGAACTAGTGATAACAACCATAAAACATTCATCAGCAGATTCCAAAATGTTTTTTATGAGATGATGCCACTATGGAAAGAAATCTTATTCATATCAAATCTCTTGGGTCAATTATAAAGGGACAATCTCCGTGATAAAGGAACTGTGGTAACTTGAGGGGCTCAATAGCTGTGTGATTCCTAGATCACAGAGGCTTCAGGCGTTCAAGGCCTGCTGAAGACTTTACACATATTTAAAGACATACTTAGTAAAAGTTCACCAATGGGAAAAAAACCCAAACACTGGCAGTGGGGAGATGGTAACTGAATGATGGAATTAGATGTTCTAACTAAAATACACGTAATGAAACTTTTAAAATGGCCCAATTTGGCATCTGTTACGCTAACACAACTAGTGAATTTCTTTTGAATTTGAAAAAGATTTTCTGACTTCAAAAATAAACTTGGAAATAAAAATGTCCTAAGAAGTCATGCCTCTCCCAAGATGAGATATAATGAAGGCCCTAGCAGCTCTAATAAAACTCATAGTCAGCTTTAATCAGCAAAGCAAAACAAATTTCAGATGGCTTACATGGCTTTTATAAATTTTCATATCATTCCTTCTTTGCATTTAACTAGCTAAAAAAAGTCAAGTCTTGGTTTTATCAGATTGTTCTTGATGAGAAAAATCCATATAAAGACATGATTGCTTCTTCAGAAGCTCACTTTGGCCTCCATCATAGAAACATCTGAGTCCCTGAGGCAGAGACGCCAAACCCTAAACATCTAAATTGCTTGCAGACAAATCTTGACATTATTTAAAAAAAAAAAAAAAAAATTATTGGCCAAAATCAGTTTTCAAGTTCTTTTAAGGATACAGCATTGTGAAACTAGAAGAATAATAACTGGGTTTTATAATTCCTAAAAGGGTAAGATTACTGTCCCAAAGATCAACTTATGTCTACTCTTTACCAATGATCTTTCTCAAAATCACGTGAGAGGGGAACCCTGTGCAGTTCAGACTGTGTATAATGTTAAAGAATAGATTGTTCTCTGAGCATCAGCCTTCACTTGTAATATAGGGGTTCTCTTTGAACCAGAAGCATTCAAAGGAAAAACAAAAAGAGATGTCTAACACCTTGAGCTCAAACATTAAATAAGAGATAAAGTGAAATCTACTAAAGACCCTAACCTGGACAAAAGAGTAAAGCATTTTGTTGCTTTTAGATTAAGTCCCTAATCAGTATTGGAAAAAGGTTATGAGGTCAGAGGTGTAACGTGGGCAATGACTTAAACGCCTGCTAGTGGGCCCAGGAAAAAGACTTCTGAAGACATTCATTAAAAGTATGGAAAACTTGAAAGAATATTGAGAAAAGTATGCAAGATTTAGGGATTATAGTTATATTTCCCAGTACTAGAAAAGAAAATAAAAATTAAGACAAGGGCAACACATACCGTCTCAGCCATGGAATACTCAGAATTAAGTTTCTTTGCTAGGCCATAATCTCCAAGTTTTATCAGGTTTGCCTTGGTCAGAAAAATATTTAATGTCTTTATATCTCTGAAAAAAAAAGATGCTGCAAATTAAGTTCACACAGATAATTGTTTTATTTCATCCCCCGTCTTGCCCAGGATTATTACAGAATAAAAATGAGTGTGGGCCTGGTGCAGTGGCTCACATCTGTAATCTCGGCACTTTGGGAGGGCAAGGCAGGAGGATTGCTTGAGGCCAGGGGTTCTAGACCAGCCTGGGCAACATAGTATGACCCCATCTCTACAAAAAATGAATTAGTCAGGCATGGTAGCAAACACCTGTAGTCCTAGCTTCTCGGGAGGCTAAAGCACCTGAGAATCAGTTAAGCCCAGGAGGCTGAGGCTGCAGTGAGTCATGACTGCACCACTACATTCTAGCCTGGGCAACAGGGTGAGACCCTGTCTCAAAAACTAAAATAAAATAAAAAAAGAGTGTTACCATTGCTCATATTCTGTCCTAAACATCCCACAGTGGTCGTCACTTTCACATGGTGTTTAACACTTAAGTGGGGACTTTAAAGGAGTGAAGGCAGAGAATTAACTTCATCCTCTAGGGCTTCACAGCATAGAAATATCTCCCATACTACTGAAGCTATTAGGAAAAGTTGAGAGGGTCAGATGAGGAAAATGGTGCTCTAGGTAACCATAATTCCCATAAGATACCACAGCTCTTCAACTATCACTTATGCCTTGAATTAAATGATATCAAGGCAACTTTAACTAACTTGGTTGGTGTCAAAGTTTCAAATAATCTGTTAAGGCAAGAGAAGAGGCCTACACATCCCCACAACGATATGATTAGGCCATTTAGTTATCTAAATAAAATCACAGGCTATTTTTCTAAAGATTAATTGACCATATGTAAAACAAAATGAACTGTGCCTGGTTCACTATGGCTTCCTTATTGAAAGATGTGAATAAACCAGAACAATATACTTTGTTACTTTTAAAAGAAAATAACAACATGCAACAGAAGCCATTCAATAGCTATCCAGAAATATATGTTAACTGAATGAACAAACCAATAAAAAAAGAAATCTTAGTGTATTATAATTAATCTCTGGCACCAGTCAATGACTCACTTAAGAAGGGTATAATGATGTGAAAATGTTACTGAGATGGTTCTCTTCTATAGCTAGAAATGAATGGAAATGTGCTTGTTTTTAAAGATCTGGTAAATTTGTACAATTAACTGTACAAAGTGAAGAGGTTTTTATTTAAATTAAAAGTGCTTAATTATAGAATTAAAAAGAATTGCCAATTATTACTGCTGTGAATTCTTACCAAATACTACTTCTCATAGTGCTTTCTAGGCTTTACTGATGAATTAACAAACTGAATTCTAAAATTTTTGTCTGTAAAATGACTAAGTAGTACTTGGCTACTGAGGAGATTCTTCCTAGATCATAAACATGGTTTAACTTCAGGGAGTGAAAATAACATTCCTCATTATTTTCCTTTCCTAATGATATAAATGGAAAAACTCTTGGCTGCTTAATCAAGAAAATAAAAGTGTTGTTGGGGGGTATCCAGGGTAGGGGCTGAATTAGTAGAGAAGAATCCATCCATAAATTTTTTTACTTTTTACCTATGAAGGATTCCAGCTTTATGGATACAGCTCACTGCTGAAACAATCTGAAATAGGTACCACACCACCATCTGCAGAGAAAAAATAAATATTTGGATTAGAAACAAAAAGCTCCATTTAAGTAAATACACACACATACACAAACAAACAAAACAAAGAAAGCTGCAACCAGAAGTTATGATTCAACATGACTTGACATCTCTTCCTTGCAGGTTGAGTAGGCAAAGAAAAGTGAAGGGGTAAAAAAACACAAAAAACAGGTTCCTCATAAAATCGTTCCAATGTCATTATAATATATAGTATGGTAAAGCAGACATGTGGAAAAACTCAGGAAGAATGCAAAGTTATAGAAAACTGGGCATACCAGTATGCAGTAATAGAACCAGGAAAGAAAGCCCACAGAGAATCATGATGTGGAGGTAAAACGTTTAGGAAGCAGCTATAGACAGCTTCCTTGTTAGAGGTTTCCTTTCTCATGAATATCAGAGCCTGGAAGGAGTCTGAACAAAAGGAAAAAAACACTCTTCATTATTGGAAGAGTAAATACAGAACTAGAATGCAAGAATTACAACACTACAATTCTAACTTCCTTCCACAGAAATATGAATTACCTCTTCCTCAAACAACTTGTCCTTCTGACGAAGGATTTTGTCATACAGGTTCCCTCCTGCAATTAAACAAGACACAGGTTTGAATTGCTTAATACAGATCAAAGCTTGGCTCCTGTTACAGGGTTTTTTAGGTGACACAAGCAAATGAAGGATTCTGCTTTCTCTCCATAGGCAACTACTTCTTTTGACTTTTCACATGGGCACAAAACTCTTCCCATCTCTCAAGGACTGCATCAGAAATATTCTTCAAAGATCTCCCTAACACAAGAGGCTTAATAAAAAAAAAGACATTTTAAGAAAAGATGTGAGTAAAGACCATTCTTGTTGTTCCCAACAAGTATATTCAAAATCAGATTTCTTTTCTAGAACTCTCCTTTAAGAACTCTGTAATATTTTTGTAACAACTCTCCCAGTTGTGACTACTATAACATTTGGATTAGGCTGGGCACAGTGGCTCACGCCTATAATCCCAGAACTTTGGGAGGCTGAGCTGGGCAAATTGTTTGGGTTTGGGAATTCAAGACCAGCCTGGGCAACACAGCAAAACCCTATCTCTACCAAAAATACAAAAAATTAGTCAGGTGTGGGGGCACGTGCCTGTGGTCCCAACTAATCAGGAGACTGAGGTGGGAGGATCGCCTGAGCCTGGCAGGCGGAGGTTGCAGTGAGCTGAGATCACACCACTGCACTCCAGGCTGGGTGACAGTGAGAGTCTATCTCAGGAAAAAAAGAAAAAAATTGGATTACACCTGTGATACAATGTTTTGTATTTATAGGGTATATATTGACAAATTTTCTACTTCACACCAAAAAATTTCCCCAAATTTAGGGTCTACCCCTAGACTGTTTCCTATCATTACTCTCTTTACTAATTCCTTCCTGTGGAATAAGTGTGAATTTACTTCTCTCTTTCCTTTATCTAGTAATACAGACCGCAAGTAATCATGGTTCATCTTACATCCCACCTGCAACTATAACTTACACTTTAGCCCTGGGTAAGTTTTTACTTCTTTTCCCCTGCAACCTAGTAACTCAGTTTCAACAAATGTATCATTTGTTCCAGTTCTTCCTAATCACAAAAGAAGTTAACGTCCTACGGCTTCTCCTACTTCGAAAATTTTTAACAGAATCTTGTATATGGCATTGATCACCAATGATCATAATATACAAGAGTTTACACAAGAAAGTTATAAGGGACGAACATGCTGGAACCTCTTTAGCATGCAGTTCAGAAAAGGGCTTTGGAGGTTCTCTTGTGCAATAAGATGATTAACAGCTAGTACAGTATGTAGCAAACACTTTCTACCTACCAAATACTATGCATGTAATATAACAATCCTAGAAAGTAGGTACCGTTATCAACAAACTTTTCTTTTTTGAGATGGAGTTTCGCTCTGTAACCAGGCTGTAGTGGTGTGATCTCCACTCACTGCAACCTCCAACTTCCCTGGTTCAAGTGATTCTCCTGCCTCAGCCTCCCCAGTAGCTGGGATTATAGGCACGCGCCACCATGTGCAGCTAATTTTTGTTATTTTTAGTAGAGACAGAGTTTCACCATGTTGGCCAGGATGGTCTCGATCTCCTGACCTCGTGATCCGCCCAACTCAATCTCCCAAAGCATTGGGATTACAGGCGTGAGCCACCATGCCCAGCCTTTTTTTTTTTGAGACAGGGTCTGGCTCCATTGCCCAGGCTGGAGTGCAGTGGTCTGAGCTCACTGCAACTTCTGCCTCCCTGTCTCAAGCCATCCTCCCTCCTCAGCCTCCCAAGTAGCTGTGACTACAGGTGCACACCACCACACCCAGCTAATTTTTTGCATTTTTGGTAGCAACAGTGTTTTACTATGTTGCCTAGGCCTTCCTCGAACTCCTATGCTCAAGTGATCTGCCTGTCTTGGTTTCCCAAAGTGCTGGAATTACAGGAGTGCACCACTGTCCCTGGCCAACAAACTCATTTTAAAATGAGGAAACTGCTGGGTGTGGTGGCTTAAGCCTGTAATCCCAGCACTTTGGGAGGCAGAGGTGGGCGGATCACCTGAGGTCAGGAGTTAGAGACGAGCCTGGCCAACATGGCAAAACTCTGTCTCTACTAAAACTACAAAAATTAGCTGGGCGTGGTGGCGCATGCCTGTAATCCCAGCTACTCAGGAGGCTGAGGCAGGAGAATCGTTTGAACCCAGGAGGCGAAGGTTGTGGTGAGCAAAGATGGCACCATTGCACTCCAACCTGGGCAACAAGAGTAAAACTTTGTCTCAAAAAAATAAATATAAAAATAAAGTGAGGAAACTGAGGCACAGAGAAGTTAAGTTTCTTGCCACGGTTACAGAGCTAGAAAGTAGACAAACTTGGGTTTAGAGTCTATTTTCTTTAACAACTAGGCTATACTGCTATCTTACAAGCAAAATGATCTGAAGAAATCAGAGATCAGATAAATAGCGCCATGCTTTACCGTATATCACTTTCACTCAGTTATGATCTTTGGACTACTTTTCAATAGGATAGCTTTAGCTGAAGACAATATAAATAAATATCACCTACAAGATATTATTAAATACTGTATCAAGCGCTGCCAAACCACATTCTGGTTAACTAATGTCATTTCATGAAAAAAAAAACTTGAAAAATAAATGTAAAATCCAACCGAAGAAAAGATAGTTTGAAAATGGAACTATAATCACAAGAGAAAATTTGGGTATGCAGGGGAAAATCCCTCTCCTTATTTCGTTAACCACTTCAAAATTCTCCAAGGCCTGAAAAGTTTCTCTTAAACTCGAGACATTCATTTAAAGTTTTTATCACTGTATATGTCTCTTCTTATATTCTTCTCCTCAAGGTAACTGTGAGTCTACAAAAGTCTTGCTGGAGAAAGTCCCACTGAACTCTATCTTACCATTACAATATTCCAGCTCAATCAGCAGGGTGGTATTGTCCATGAAGTGATTGTAGTAGGCAATAATGTTGTCATGCTGCAGCAGTGCCAGAATAACAATCTCATTCAAGGCATCACGACGTTCCTTCTCAGACAGCCGGGTCAAATCAACTTCCTTCCACACAACCAGTGAGTCATCCTAAACACAGTAACAGAGGTATCGTGCTTTTCCTCTTGCCTGGCAGCAAATGAATCCACACCTAGATTTGTAAGCCTAGAAGCAAAACTACCTAAGAGGAGCAGAGACTGACTCCTCTTATTTTTTCCTTTTAACAGACTTTAAAGGTTATGTGTACAATTTAGCATTATAATTTATTGCAGGACAGGGGAAGTAAAGCATTACGACGTTGTTGTCACACTCAATTTGCATGATGTCAGTTCCAGGTAAAAATATGGGCTGGGCATAGGTTTCAAAAAGATTCTATTGAGGATACTATGACAGGCTGCTAATCATGATGGTGATTATGGCAGGGCAAGAATACTTGAGAGGTAGAGAACTGGGGAGCAATTATCTATAGTCGGTCACAGCTTCTAAAATGAAAATACTAAACTTGCCTCTAGTTTTATAAATTTAGACTTACCCTTTCTGGATAAGTCATGCCCCCTTTTGCAACTCTATAATCTCTCACACTTTTATGTATCACATTTTCTTCCATTCCTGAAAACTTACCTGTAGCTCCTGATGTCTAACATCCTTTTTTTTTTTGAGATAGAGTGCAGTCATAGCTCACTTCTGCTCTGCCTGGGCTGAAGCAATCCTCCTACCTCAGCTTCCCCAGTAGTTAGGACTACAGGCATGCACTGCCACACTCAGCTAAATTTTTTTTTTTTTTTTTTTTTTAAGAGATGGAGTATCACTGTGTTGCCCAGGCTGGTCTAGAACTCCTGGCCTCAAGCGACCTGACCACCTTGGCCTCCCAGGTGTTGGGATTACAGGCATGAGCCACTGTGTCTGGCCTCATTTTTTGCTGACACTGCTTCCTAGCCCAGGAGCATCTCCACCAATGTAACCCTCCCCATCCTTTTGAATGCCTCTGCCAAGCCTTTACAATGTTTTTGAAAAGACTCTGATGAACCTTTTCCTGTAACCATGCCTTTAATTTTTAGACCCCATACACTGAAATATTTGTCCATTCTTTTCATATCTCTACATATACAACTTAATGCTATGTGTTTACTAACAATGGCCAACTTTTCCTATTGAAATACAAGCTTCTAGAGGAAAAGAGTGCTTCTGAACTTCTGTAAATTCACAGATCTAATAAATATTTGGTGATATGGATAACGCTATGCAATTTTTGAGAAGTGTAATCAAATTTAACTCAAAACAAACCCAGTAATCAATTTCAACAGGATAATAATAAAAAGGCAATGGGCAAGATGTGAGACTTTAGTTCTAGTCCAAGATTTACTTATAACTTAAGTGAGCAAGTGACTTAAGTATACTGTCTTAGTTTCTCTAATTAAAATATAGAAATAACAATACTTATCTCCTCTTTCTCATTTTGAGTGCAAAAAAGAAAACAGACTACTAAGAATAACTCTAACATCATTCATTAACGTGGCATCAGGATAAAAAAGAACACTTAAAAATATTTTCTTGCAACCACTTCTCTCCTTCTCCATCTTTCAGCCTTAAAAGTATGCTGGCTTGGAACACACACCAGAACTGCAGATGGATGGATCACTTTCAGCAACCCCAGCAAGTTCTCATTAAATGTTTACCCTAAAGTAAGATTCTATGATCAAAACCAGTATATCGTTAGTTTTTGGAAGTAGAATCATCACTGCAGGGTTTTACACTAGTATATATTCTTAACTTGGGATTCCGTGATCCATGGATCTCTCCAAAGGATGTGCCTATGTGCAAATGTGTTGATGGAGGGGGTAAGATTACTTTGCTTATGTTAGGTTCTCAAAGGGGTCCTTGTGCCCCCCAAATTAAGAACTAATGGCTTAGAATATACCAACAGAGTACTTCCCATGCATAAACCCTGTAGGATAAACACTGATAAAGAACCAACACACAAAGATCTTCCCAATGAGCTTCAAGAAAAGCTTCCAACTGAGTGATCACAGCTGAACTTAAAGATAATGACACAAACTACGGAGGTGCCACCGGTGTGGGGATTTTTAAGCTATGCCTGTCCTCCTCAACCCGACCTTGGAGAACTATATATACAGCATGAGGGGAAGGAAGTTTTGGCAATACCTCACATTCGTATATACCACTTTAATTTACAGAACAAGCGCCTTCGTTTCATTCTCAAGATAATCTTAAAAAAAAAAAAGATGATTTCAAGGTATTATCAGTAAGCCCATTTTACAGATGGGGAAGCTAAAGCTCAGAGACGGTTAGATGACTTAGGCCAATCAAAAATGACTAGTTAGTCAAACCAATGATCTTGCCAATTTCTAGTGCGGATGAGTGGGAAGAGTGGTGAAGACCCTGACACATATATCCTGTGGGCGCCTAAAGCACTAAGCTCACGACGCTGAGAAAGCGGGGCCGGGAAGAAGGGACTCAGGGCGACCCGACAGCGCCAGACAGGACGGCCGGTGCCGAGGGCCGCTACCTCGGTGCGGCGGTACAGCGTGGCTTCCCCGAAGGCGCCTCGGCCCAGGACGCGGATAGGGATGTAGTGCAGCTCCTCCTGCTCCGCCGCGCCGCCGCCGGCTCGCGGCCCCTGACTAGCGCTAGGCCCCGGACTCGAGTCCCCGCAACCCCCGGACTCGCTCCCAAAGTCCGAGTTGATGGAATCGCAGTGTCGTTCGTACTCGCCCAGCACCGACATGGCGGCGGTCGCGGGCCTTCGGGACCGGCCTGCGTATGGCCGGGGGCGCGGGCCGCGCTGCGTCCAGCTCGCTTCAGATGCCGGCCCGCGGATCCTTCAGCCCAGCAACCCCGCGAAGCTCCATGGTGGCTCCTGCCCCCTGACCCGGAAGCAGTTCTCTGTGTTTCCGGCCCGGCTGAGTTTCCTCCGCCTTTGCTTGCCAGCTTGGCTAGTCTAGCGACCAAGGCTTCCCGCTTTCGGGGAAGGCCTGCAAAGTGAGGCTTTGGGCTGGGATTGGCGGGCGCGTGGTGGGA